CGATAGCAAATTGTTTTGAAATTTCATTAATATCTAAGTAAGTTGTTAAACGAAGTGTTGAGTATATTTGCAACTATTATTGATTATAGTTTATTGGTAATAACTTCTGAAATAAATGCTTGATGAATTAAATTTTCTGTTTTCATCTTTCTATATATTGACTTGGTTCAATGCTTGGACTGAATTAATTTTGTTCCAGTCCTTGGACTGAATTAATTTTGATCCAGTTGTTGGTCGACTGAATTAATTTCTTTTGTTCCAATTCATCAGCCCCACCTCTTCCCTGCTGATATCAAAACCCTCCCCGGCTTTAAGACACTTGACCTAGTTTCAAGATACATCATGTGACCAGGTACGAGGTAATCGATTGGCTAGTTACCTCATGAATAATTAATGAGTATGAGAAGGACTTATATCACAGCAAGCGATGTTTCGAGGACGCCTTTAATTTAACACTACAATTAAGATTTCCTATCACTCTTAGTCTTTTTGCTGTCAGCAAGTGAAAAAGACGCCAGGCCATATAGGTAATATAGCCTTAAACCTGACGACTGTTGTTTTAGTGTAGTCGTTGCTTGGTTCAGGCCGCTTCGTTATTACCTCTCAATAACACTCATAAATATTTTCTAGTTCAAACGTTCGTCGACTCTTGACAGTGTGAGGATCTAAAATACCTCATAGCTAATATATGGCACCAAGAGAAAGCTAACTAGTTCGTATTCTCTTGATGGCACAAAACAAAAGGAGGATTCAGTAAGTATAAAAAATCTAAGAAACGGAATTCCTTTATTATAACCTAAAAAGACGCCGGGATATCTCGACAAACACCTGATAGGCTGATCCAAAAGTACTCCAGCGTTTCGACAAGTAACTCTAAATTTCTTGAAGATTTTAGAAGATGTAAGGTACGACATTTACACGGAATGGTTTCTTTCTCAGTTCTCTGCGCCATGTTGAAAGCAATGCCTTTGCGGAAGCGAGACGAACTGGCGGTGAGCTTGCAATGATAGAGACCTTTTATTTAACAGACTTCACTAATATACGAATTTTTTATTGGTTCACACAAACGGTATTTAAAAAATATTATACTTATACTCGTTATACTATCCTTGTTATAATGTCTTATAATGGTTAGTGTTTGGTATTAAAACTTAAAACAAATACACTAAAAAGCCTGGAGTGACGTGACAGCCATTGACATATTGTATAAACCTTCATAACTTAAAGACGCAACGTTCAAATGAATAAATATTTCACCATTCAACTATTCACAATTCGTTCCCGACAACTCGTTCCCGACAACTCGTTCCCGACAACTCGTTCCCGACAACTCGTTCCCGACAACTCGTTCCCGACAACGCGTGACCCCTATCGGCTTCCGTACCTTCCTCCCCGCCTAAAAGAAGGGAGAGAAAGAGAAGAGAGACTCTGCTAGCAGGGAACTATTCACTTTATGTAGAGTCAATGCTGAAAGTATTGTATCAGGGGTACCGGTTAGGTGCAGTTTAAGGCCTCACAAGGATTACGAGGCAATTGGTATTTAATTTCTCAAGACACAAAACAATTGAAGCAATTCATGATTTATTTTACGCTATCAGAGTTTTGAATTCTAAGATATTTATAGCTAATTTGTTGAGCTTGTGAGATGATAGCAACGGTAACTAAGGGGAGTTGGATCCATCAGCTTATTGGTCAAAACACAACCAGGCTGATCTGAAAAATAACGTTTAGCCAATCAGAATAGAGAACGTTTGCGAAACTGAGGCCAGATGTCACTTGTGAGACATAGCAACGGTAACTAAGAGGAGCTAGTCAGAACCATCAGCTTATTGGTCAAAACACAACCAGCCAATCAAAATCGAGAAAATTTGCAAAACTTAGGTGTCACTTTTCATTTTGAAATTGCGATACGGATTTCCAGGCCATAAAATGAAATAAAGATAACGTTGCAAATAAGCGCTTGATAACACTCTGACACAATTATTTATAAGCTTTATAGTCTTACCACAATGGCGAGCATAATTTTTTTATTTGCTGGCAAGAGAATATTAATATTCTCTTGTTGCTGGTCAATTTTACCAGGCTTTATGACTAGAGAGTTCAAGATTCTCGTTTACGGCAAAAGTGAAACGTCAGTTGACCGCTAAAAAATTCTTTAAAATTAGTGAAAATGAATCAAAAAAATCTCCAAGTAGTAGATAAACAAAAGAATACTTCTCTTTGTCGAGAAGATTTGCAAAAGATAAAATGAAATGTAGGGAAACGATGAAAACGTGGTCACGTTTACCGTTTGCGGGAAGGAAAAACGGGAATTTTAATCTGCCTACTACTTCAGATCAGCTGGTACCTCTTTCTGTGATGGAGGCCAACAGAGCAATATTCCTTTTCACTCTTAGGTAAAATCAAGTTGGAGTCTAGAGAGAAAACTGGATGTAAACCTTAACAAGCTACCTTAGAAGTGAGTTTCAGCCAATTTGTCTTAATTTCCGTTGTACAGGATTAACATATTAGCCTCGACTTTGTGTGACAGTAATGATAAAAGGGTAAATTTTACACCGCAAAAAGATGAAAAAACTCTTTAAAAAACTGCTTTTCTTAGTATATGAACACTCTGATCCTTTCCGCCATCTCTCTCTTTTACTCCGACGAAGGACTAGCGTCCGAAACGTCAGTAAGTTTTTTCATCTTTTCAGGTGTAAAATTTACCCTTTTATCATTACTGTTTCATTAGAGACACCGACGCAGCTCACACTAGTTTTTAGCTAGTTATCTCTTCTCGATTTTGTGTGGGAAAAAATTGAATATTCATGTGTTCGATTCCGATGTACTGAAAGGGGTATTATTTTATATGCTATGGTTTTCTTAGATTTCACTGATTGATAATGGCATACCCCGAAAACAAAAGTTTCGAAACTGGCATGTACGTGTCTCTATCAACGCTGGTGTTTATAAATCTCATTGGCAATACCCTCGTAATCCTGGTAATTCTGACCAATAGAAAAATGAAATCTCCAATGAACTACCTTCTCGCCAACCTTGCTGTAGCAGACATCATGGTAGGAGCTTTCATTGTGCCACCGTTAATTTCTAAACAATTCTTTACCCACCCTGAAGGAATTGCTGGAGCAATAGCCTGCAAGGTGCTAACCGGGGGGAGCTTGACTTGGGTCGGTAGCGCTGCCTCGGCATTCTCACTCGTTGCCATATCATTTGAAAGATACTTTGCTGTCATTCACCCACACTCAACGAAACTAAGACTCACTTTCCGGAAAGTCAAGCGTGTGGTCAAAGGAAGTTGGACTTTTGCTTTGGTAATAAACCTACCTTCGTTTGCTACCCTCGCCTATGATAAGAATATCAACCTTTGCGTAGAAGAATGGCCAGAGCAGCAGATTGGTAGTGCGTATGGTACGCTTTGGTTCCTCGCCGTCGGCGTCCTTCCTATCACCATCATGTTTGGCCTTTACAGCCGTGTTGTCTACACACTCTGGTTCAAGCGCTCAAAAAACCAAGTCCCCGCTACTCAGTTATCTATCCTCAAGTCTAGGAAGAGATTGACGAAGATGATTTTTACCGTCAGTATAATATATGCAATCTGTTGGCTTCCAGACCTCACAATCTACCTCTTACATCTCTATAACGTGACGTTTGGCTATGCGGGACTCCCAAACGTCATCGGGGTTATCTTGGTTACGTGTAACTCAGCTGTCAATCCTTTTGTTTATACCTTCCAAAGTGAGAAATTTCGACGCCATCTTAAGCAGCTAGTTCTATGTAGGAAGTATCGCAGGAACCGCGTTGCTAATGCGATATTAACAATTTTCCTTGAGACAGGTGCAACGCCGCTGTGAAAATTTAAAACGACTAGAAAGTCGACTAGAGCAGTTTTCGTCTGACTGTGAAAAGCGCAGTGCCGTAAGCGTGACGTGCCGTGACCGTGATGCTTTCTAGAATTTTAATTGGCTGATGTTTTTTCACGCATAATGTGATTGGTCTGGCGTTGCCGTGACATTGACGTGACCTTGTCCGCGCCGTGTTTATGCCGTGTTCCGGGTATCTGATTGGATGGAGAGTAAATTCTCGTGCAATTTGATTGGTCTGGCGTATCCCTTGTCGTATCACGACCGTGTTCGTGGCGTGAACTTTTCACAGTCATACAAAAACTACGCCCGACCCCTTGACCCTCGATGTGGGGGACAAAACAAAAGAATTCCATTCTCCTTAGAATTGGAACCTATCGTCATTGTCCTCCAGATTGAGCTGCATTCCACTCAAGTGACACGCAGCCATATTGCTGTACCAAACAATAGAAACTTTCTTCATAGTTTTAACAAAAAATTAAGAAATGAATATAGATGATGTGGGTGGTTGGGGGGAGAGGAAGGAGGATGCCTTAGCTGGTGGCTTATTGAATGCATAAAATAAATGCATCAAAGATATGAAAAATATATATATATATAATTCACGATACATTGGGGTTCAACCCAGGTCTTACAAAAGAAATTCATTCCAAAAAATATATATGAGCAATCAATCGATTCATAACTGTGCCATACCCCCGAGACATCCGCAGAGCTGGGGCGGCGTATGGACTTCGGACCTGACGGCGATTAAATCCTTCTGCCCTTGGGTGTACGAATTACGCAAGAAAATGTTCTAGCCGAAGCATCAGGGGAGAGACCAGCCGGTCCCCAGACCATATCGGCTAATTCCTTCATTACCACCTTACTCGTGAAATACTAACTCGTGAAATACCAACTACATATTAATGTACAAAGCATTGAATAATAGCTCTCCGAATTAATTACTTAACAGATAAGTTTAAGAACGCAAGTTCATTCCCATAACAATCTAAGAGGATCTTCTTACGGCTTATTTGTGCCCAGACAAAATGGTGAATCTGGGAAAAGCAGTTTTAACTACAGAGGGTCTGTTCTTTGGAATAGCCTCCCTGATAATATAAAAAGTGTGACAACATTAAGTAATTTTCGTAAATCACTGGATGATTTTTTTCAATAATTAGAATGCGTAATATAGTCTGTCAGCAGAGGTACTATCCCCCTTTAGCTAAATTACCAAGGTCTGGTCTTATTGTGCCTCTGCTGACAGAATATTGAATATAAAGTATTGTTGACATTCTCAATTATCTATCCCTTATAAGTCATATATATTTTTCATTTTTACTTCCAGTTATACAATTTATATTCATTATTTTCATAAGTTTTAACACGGCTTTTAGGAAGAGAATTTTGTATGATGAGATATCTGTGTTTAAATAAAGATTATGTATGTATGTATGTATG